TTCTTCTTGGCTACTTTTAGAGGGGCTGTCCGTGGTTGCCTAGGTAACCTGCCCAGTACATACATACATACATACCCTGTTGAGTTCAATAAAGAATGCATTGCTTCATTTGCCTTGCATTTCCTCTGTCCCAATCTTTCTGCATCTGGTCGCCACACCTTGGGTCCTGTCCTCCTCAGAAGATCATTGACAATTGGTGCCTTAATATGGACCTGAATAGAAGCCCTTCAGAGGGCATGGGTGACACCAAAAACTTCTTGAGTTAAGTGATAACAGGGTAATGGGATAAGCTTAAGAAAAATGGGGTTCAACTCTCCCAAGGTCGGATAGATGGTTGTCTTAAGGTTGTTGTTGAGTTTAATCCTTGGTCCCTGGAGGAGGGCTCTTTGGACTTGGAAACTTGGTTCAGAGTTAAGCGGCATGTGGATAAGGCATTGAGACAGGGAGAGAAGGTGCCTGTAGATGTTGGACTGTTTGGGCTTTGATCATAGCGGCTGTCAGTATGATTCAGGACGATGGACCGGTGTTGTCCCCATCTAAAGAGAGAGAGAAAGCTGAGGAGTCTATTCATGAGTATGGTTTAGCCGGAGAGGTCTGAGTGCAGGTGATTGCGAAAAGGAAAAGGTTTTGCCAGTTCCAAATCCTATCATATCTGTTCCCACATCTTCTCCTTTAGATCCAGAGACGAGCTCAAAAATCTTTCAGATCCCCAGAGTCAGACTCATGAACTTGCCCAAAATATAAAACACAGAGAAAGGAGCCACGTAGGCAGCAAAAAATTGCACTTGACTGATGAATTAGAAAAGCTGAAAGTGAAAGTGGCCCGCAAACAGCCATCATGCCATCTACCCATCGGTATCTACTGATGCGATGATGGAAGCATCGTGTCACCCGCACTACAGCCACATAAACCAAAACGGCCTAGAAAAATGTGACATTCCTCTGAAGTCTTGCGTATTTCTTGAAAAATACTGAGCCTTCTGCCTTATCCCTATACACTTTTTCTATGCTGTTTTAATCAGCATCTCCCATGTCAGTCGATGCTCTACGGGAAAGACCCAGACAAGGTTCCTGCCTAGCGGAGAGAATGTTTCATCTTTCCCTAAGTCTTCATTCATGATGTTAAGCTCACGATTTATAAATCCGTGTCACAATGGCACTTTGTCATCCTTGCTAAATACCTGTTTGAAAAGTTAACAGCACATTTGCGTACCATAAATATTGTCTAAGAATCGATACATATATTTACATAGGTCCACCAAATGCTTCCACCATCACATCATTAGATACAGTTGGGTGGATGATAGAGTCTTTAGAACGTGCAGAACTGAGGGGTTGGTTGATTTGGTTGGATTTTGTTTGTTTGTTTGTTTTGTTTCATGATGCAGCGAACAGAGTCCTTAACTCACGCCACAGAGTAAATGGTGCCCCAGCTAGTGGCAGTAACCTTCCAGGCTGCCACCCAGCACAGCGTTGGGCACACGTGGGCGCATATGTCTCCCTGTGGGCACTCGGAGCAGAGCTGGCTAGTGATGGCCATTCACAGGATCACAACCTCTCAAATCTTTGCTTCTTATCCTGGCACTTCTAGTCCTTTGTATGATAGAGCTCATGCGTCCTATTCCTAGCCAGATCTCCCACTAAGCCTGGGTTACGAGGCCCTCTGGGGACACAGACATTGTCCACAGTGCTTGGAAGAATCTCAAGACAGACAACCGCCCAAGGCCACACCAGCTCCCATAGTCAAAAAGTCTGTAGATCAGAGGTTTTACAAATATTGTTTTATGAAACTTTAAAAAGGTAATCACATGGAAATTCTTTTTCAGAGGCAGAGAGCGAGGCCCACAATGGATGAGTTTAGGCCTGAGCCAGGAGCCAGGACTCAGCCCTGTTCTCCCGTGGGCCTGGCAAAAACAGCTACTGGAGCCATCGTGGCTGTCTGTCAAGGTGTTACGTGTGCAGATTTTGAATCTTATTTATTAAGTGTAGTGTCTTCTGAAAGTGGTTGCTGCTGGGTTTCGTACAGTGGATGTGGGGGACACGAAGGTGTGACGAATATTTTTTCAATGCAGGCAGGGCTGCAAGGAATTTCCCGCTGTTTGGCAGGGCCCAGAGGACATCCCTACAACCTGAATGCAGCTCCACTTTCTTCTACATGGACACAGGACCACCATGCGGAAGAATTCTAATCCATTCAGGCATTGTTTGCTACTGTGGAGTTGGGTTTTTACTCAATGTGAGCTTGGAGGTGAATGTCAATAATAACGTCTTGTAAAAGGGCCTTCTATTATTCCTACTGTCTTGGCTGTCCCCATTGACCTTAAGCTAATGTAGGGATCTGTATTAGGGTTTCATTCTTTCCTTGATCTTTAGGTTCTCCTTTTCTTTGTGATACAAGATTGAGTTGTAGAATAAGACTTGTAGTAGAAACTTCTATTGTTTTTAGGTGAAACAAATGGCAGAATTATTCTTGGATACACCCACTTGACCATGAGCTCAAAAGTCTGTGCCAGAGCTTGTGACTGCTTCTGTATAAATAAAGGGGACAGGGAGAATCAAGATGGAGGGATAGGGTAAGGACACGTTTAAACGGATGGAACAACATTTAATCAGGATGAAGCAGACAGGACATATTTCAGGAAATAGGAAAGGAGAGAACAACAGCAGGGGGGTACCTGGAGACTGACAGACACAGGAAAGCAGCAGACACAATGGTGTGGTGTTGCGGTGACTGTTACTCCAGGGACATTCAGCTAACAGCAATCTGAACTCCACCAGCAGCCAAAAACTCCACCAGCAACCAGGTGGGAAGAGACTTTCACTGGGAGCTTGGGAGGTGAACCCGGACAAAGAACTGTCTGTACTGCTGGCCCATTTGGTTTGACCAGGAGCAGAGACAGAGCAGCACATCCTAGGCAGGTAGTGCAAGAACAGGGTGGATTTCATAGCCCAGTCAGCCCCTTAGAGCCAAATCGGGTGCCATTTTGCGTAAGGAGGCAAAGGCAAGGCAAAGGACTGAGCATACACTGAGCTGGCAGTGAACTCATTTCTGACTCAGTGAACTGCAGCAACATGGCATTCTATAGGTTCCACCCAAGACAGATCTGGGTAGCCCTCAGACCTGATGGCCAGCAGATCAAGAACTGAAGTAGTGGTACGTCAGGTGCCATGTTGCACACTGTGGCAATAGCTTTAGGACTTCAGGGGACAACAGTGAATTTTTACAATTTGTACAAAATTTAGCTTATGGTTTCTTGAGCAGGGCACTTTAGATTTACACACCTGGGATAAGGTTGGAAATAATATTGTTGCAAGATTTTTGACCCCGAATACGGCAGCAACCTCAAATTCTTGTCTCGCAGGAAAGAGGAATTTTCGCGCAGACACAGTTTTGTTTTAAAGCAAGATTTATTAGAAAAGCTGAGAAGAGAGACTCCCGTCCTAGCGACGGGAGGGTGTTCTGAGATAGAAAGGACCCTTACCCCCTGCCATAGTGGCAGGAGGAAAAATAAAAACCAGTATGAATGGTGGGGAATGCACCTTTTAAAGGTTTCCCTCAAAGATGTTTCTCCATAAACAAAGAAAATTCCTGGTTTCCATGGTACCTGGCCTTGGGACAAAAGGCCACAGAGGTGCCAGACATAGGACATTCCAGGCCTTGGGCAGATGTGTATTACTTCTTCCTGCTCTCCTTTCAATGATAAAGAGATCAGCCTGAGGCCCTCCCACACACTGGCCAATACTTCAGGTTGAGGAATTGATATGCTAATAGCATCCTTGTCCCTTGGAAGAAACGTGCTCTGGTGAATCTAAGACATGGTGGGGAAAATACCCTTCTATATTTGAGGAAAAAAAATGACTTGGGGACCCAGAATGCCCTAACTGCCTACTACCCAGACTCTCACCTATAGAAGAGTATCAGACTTAAAACCTGATAACAAGTGTGGAAATGCCAATTAAAAGTTCATATCTTTCTTTGCAATTAAGTATACTAACTACCGTTCATACTCCAACTGGATGCTTATGGCAATGAGGCCCTTTAGAGTGGCTACACTCTGCTTCCATGTCTAAAAAGTTATTACTCCTTCTTGTACTTTGGTCTCCACCTTAATTGTAAAAAGATGTCATAGGAATAAAGAGTTATTTTTGGTAAGGATGTGAATAAAATAATTATTCCTTATATCTCTGAACAGCTTACTTATTTAATATCTGAGGATGAGGCACGGCAAATAGCACTCTTAACCCTTGTAGGTACAATTTTATACCACTTGGCTAAAAAAAAATCCCCTTTTGTATTTTGTTAAAAGTCGTTCGGTTATATTTCAAAAGATTTGTTCCTTAACCCTTGTGCCCCAACCTGCTTCTTTAGTCTTTACAGATGGTATTTAACAGAATAGCTTCTCTAATCATAGATTTCGAAAATGTTCTCATGGGCCAATGGAAAGGACCCAATTTCCTCTTAACTTTTGGAGGAGGGAATGCTTGCATTTTTCCACAGTGCTTGGACTTGCTGGCTTGGATTCCACATGGGCTAATTAGACAGCTCCAGCAAACTCCAGACCTGACTTTGTTGAAGTGTCTCAGAGTATGATAAGATTCTATATTGAGGTGATCTTTGTGTTTTCTGCCTTTCAGTATGTTCACATTGCTTCAGATGAATAAAAGTTAGGCATTTACTTTATAGGTCTTTAAATTGATCACATAATGCCAATAACTATATCTAATCTAGATTGTGTTGTGTTAAGAGATTCTATTTAAACTAGATGTTATAATTCTTGGCATGCTTGATGAGCATCCAAAAATTTCAAAAGTTTTATTTAGTAGATAGAACAACCGAGTATGCTTTTGGATTGTATTAAAGATACTGTCAGATGCCAAGTGGGGCAATGTCAGCAACACCTGCATCACCATCACCGTGTACCCCAAGCCGAGCGGAGGAACTAGGGTTACAAAAAGGCCAATACACAGTGGGCCATTCTTGTAAAGAGAATGCCATTTATTCAAAGTTGGCCTGCCCCTTTTATAGTCTGCATAGTTCTTCCCAGTATTTTCCTGATGCTCAAGCAACTCCTAAGCTCCCCCGGGGGGGCATCTTAAAAAAGGGGAAGCAGGGAAGAGGGAACTTGCAGTCAAGCCAGGGGCTAAATGTATCAGGCCGAGATTGCCCATCCTGTTACACCTTGAGAAACAAGCTAAGCTGTGGAATTAACCCTTGGGAGACTGGGACTTACAAGGCAAAATTTTGTCATACCAAAATACTACGATAATTTTTTTCTTTTTTTTTTACAGAAGTCTAATTCAAATCTCTGTATTTCTAAAAGTTCCAGGACAACAATGGAATGCTTAACAACAATGGAATTCAAGCCAAAACGCCAGAAAAAGATAAATATTTACACTTTATAAATATGTCCATGCTGTTAAGTGAATATTTCTTATGCTAATTTATATTGCTAGGATATCTGAAATCAGCAGTAACCAGTTTTTTTTTTTTTCTCTCAGGGTTTCAATTCAGACTGAATTATTATTGGTGACTTTTTTTATTTAATGGGTACTGCTATAACCAAGCTTGTTTTATAAAGACTCCTTAGTAAATCGTGAATTTCTCTGAAATGATCTCTCGTGCAGTTTGCAACATTTTGGAGACCTCAGTCAGAGGGTATTGGCCATGCTGTGTTCTGGAACCTGGCTTGATAGACGGGGGAGACCACCTGTGATGGTTAACACGGCATCAATATCCTCTTTCTTCCTTTTTGTTCTAAAATATTTGCAATGATGTGATTTAAACATTTTAATCGTAGTCTCAATTTTAAGTAAAAATCAGAATGACGCCTACTATGCAGGAGTATTGACAAGAGTTAATAGAATATTCAGGTCACAGGAAGCGAGTTCCAGTCTCACTTATCTTGTTTCTGTGTGTGTTATAGATGAACTATCATATGTAAGAAAAAACATTAAATATGTGTCTTTCAGTTCTGTTGGATTAAAACATCAAAACCTTTTCCTATAGTGATTCTTCAATGTATGTTAGCAATAAAAAAAAAAAAATGAACTCCTAAGCTAAAAAAGAGAACATTGATTAAAGTCGAAATATGTTATTTGATAAGAAATTACATTGTGAGAAATGTGGACATTCCAATTGCGCACACTTAGCCTCATGCATTGCAAAGGATATGTGTAAGACTATGCTAATAAAGATTGCCATCAACAGAGCGTGTGGTACACATACAATGGAGTAACACACAGCCATCAAAAGGATGACATCTTACTTTTTGCACTAAATTTGGTGCAACTGGATATCATTTCCAAGTCGGTCATTCCAAAGGCAAATATAAGTGGTAGTTCAGTAGAATTTAAACATATATGAATTCATTTTAAAAATGTATAGACTCTAAAAATACACATGGAATTAAAACTCATAGCACGGGCCCGGCGCGGTGGCGCAAATGGTTAAGGTCCTCGCCTTGCACGCCCGGAATCCCATATGGGCGCCGGTTCTAATCCCGGCAGCCCCGCTTCCCATCCAGCTTCCTGCCTGTGGCCTGGGAAAGCAGTGGAGGACGGCCCAGAGCTTTGGGACCCTGCACCTGCACGGGAGACCTGAAGAGGCTCCTGGCTTCGGATTGGCACAGCATCGGCCGTTGCGCTCACTTGGGGAGTGAATCATCGGATGGAAGATCTTCCTCTCTGTCTCTCCTCTCTGTATATCTGCCTTTCAATAAAAATAATAAAATCTTTTAAAAAAAAAAGCACATAAAGCGTCCTCACTGACACCCACTTTTCCATGAAAAATTTTGAATTCCCTTTGATTACTGAAACGATGTGGACAATAAAGATGGGAAAGAGGAAAAATCCGAGTTTCCAGATAACACATACTGCAAAGCAGTGGGTCATTCATATGCAATGTACCCAGAGGAATCAATAACAATAACAACAACAACTACAATAATAATAATAATAAAAACAAAAAAGTGAACAGGCTAAGCAAGCTCTATCTACTCCTCTGACAAATTGATCACAATGTCAAACACTGAGGTTTGAGATGTGACGTCACTGACATCGCTCAGCCCCAACACTGTGAGTCTCACCAGGGTTTATGGAACAACAGTCTTTTCAGAGCCCTCTTCATGTCTGTGTTCCTCAGGCTGTAGATGAAGGGGTTCAGCATGGGGGTGACCACGGTGTACATCACCGAGGCTGCTGCAGTTGAGGCTGAACTTGGGGCAGCACTGGCACTGAGATACACACCTATGATTGTGCCATAAAATAGGGAGATGGCAGAGAGGTGGGAGGCACAGGTGGAAAAGGCTTTGTACTTGCCCTGAGCTGACGAGATGGCACGGATGGAGGAGGCAATCTGAGAGTAAGAGTACAGGATTCCAGCCAGGGGACCACCTGCCAGCAGCACTGCTGCAAGATACATCATGAGGTCATTGAGAAAGGTGTCAGAACAGGCTCTGTGGACCACCTGATTTATCTCACAGAAGAAGTGGTGGATTTCCAGGTGTGTGCAGAAGCTGAGCCTCAGCACCAGTAAGCTCTGCATAAGGGCATTCAGGACACCAATGACCCAACACACCAAAGCCAGCTGCACACAGAGCTGGGAGTTCATGATGACGGTGTAGTGCAGAGGGTGACAGATGGCCACAAACCTGTCATAAGCCATCACAGCCAGCAGAAAGTCATCCAGGCTTCCAAACAGCAGAAAGAAGAACATCTGTGTGATACAGTCCGCATAGCTGATGGCTTGGCTCTGCATCTGGATGTTCACCAGCATCTTGGGGACGGTGGTGGAGGTGAAGCAGACGTCCACCAAGGACAGGTTGGCGAGGAAGAAGTACATGGGCGTGTGGAGGTGTGGGTCAGAGAGGATGGCCAGGACGATGAGCAGGTTCCCACTGACAGTGACCAGGTACATGGAGAGGAACAACATGAAGATGAGAGGCTGCAGGGCTGGGTCCTCTGAGAATCCCAGGAGAAGGAATTCTGAAAGCTGAGTTAGGTTTCTCAGTTTCATGTGGTGCAGGTCACTGCCAGGAAGATTTCATTGAACCTGAACCATATTCATACAATTTGAATGGAAATAGCAGTGGAAATTCAAAATTCATTCAGATTGTAGCTCCCACATTTGGAGATGGCTCAGGACCCATTTTGCTCCTTCCCACTGGGACCACTGACCAAGAATTCCTTTCCACTGTCAGGCCTTCCGTAAATCATTAAGTGCTTCTCACATTTAATGAGCTATTCTTTGATCTCTTAGAAATTTCTATTCATCGGTGTTTACCAACTCACTCTATATTTTCCAAGTAAATGCCTGAACAAGTAAGCAGGAGATGATGCAATGTATAGCATACGGTTTTGTGTATGTTTAGAGATATGGGGATGCGATTCTGCCTATTACACATAAAATGATTTTTAATTATACAACCGGAGGCAGAAATGCACCACTATGAGTAAATGGTTCAGCTAGATAGACAAGAGGGATCAGAAAGAATGTCAAATAATAACAAAATGTAGAGCAAGTTAGAAATATATGGAAAGGTGACTTACGAAGACTCAGCTTGCAGAACCAAATTTTTTGATGCAGATTTGAATTACGTTGGATTTGCAACTCAGGATGAGTGTGTGATTTGATAAGAGAAAAATATAAGCTTTCGCAAGTTCTCTTAAATTGGACTATTAAGAATGCATCTAACAGATTCACTCATGTTTGTGTATGCATTTTGCAAAACGGGAATTCTCCAAATTTTTGCAGCAGACATTTTAGACCGTAATTAAGTTAGCTTTTAAATAGACTTTTTTTTAAATTGGCACTGAAGAACACTGCAAGTACCTATTAAAGAACTCGATGGCCAATTAAAAAGTGCTGTCAAAAATGGCCAATCCTTTTACGTAAAAAGACAATAAAACACAGGAATAAAGCTCTCTCACCTTGAAGCACACCAGGAAAGTGTGAAATTGCAGGGGAAATGCAAGACACTGGAAAGCCTTGAGTGTATCCAACTCACAGAGGATGCAATATCTGCCAAGCAGGTATCTTTGCTGGAGCCCTTCTTACTGCATCATTAACCTTGAGTCATCTGAGAACACAGTGTGAGAGCAGAGAGAAGACGGTTAGACACGCGTGTTCCAGCAGCTGCTCCCATCAGGATCTCCACGCAGACATTTCCCCCTGCCTGGTCCCTTCCTGTCAGTACAGGGACAGTTAGTTATAACCCGAACGAGGAGGGTTCTGACTCCGTCTACAGAGGCTGTTCCAGTGCCAGGGGTTTGTCATACCCTCCAGCGTCCGCCTGATGTTTCGTTTTAAATGGTGAACACCCGACCTCTCTCGCACTGGCAAACTGCTATGATGTCACTGCAGTACATGTCCCTTCACACATGAAATTGCTTCTCTACTCCCCCAAACCTCCAAACGTTGCAAAGTTGGCTTCATGTACTCTAGGCAGTTTAAGCCTCTCATTATCTCTGAGAGATGATTTTTTTCAAGCCCTTATTTTTTTTTTTAATTAGCGATGATCATTGCTCTAGCAGATCCAACATTTTCTTGCTTTATGATAATTACTGACATTTGCATTCATACTTAAGTGTACAAGTCAACAACCCCAGAACTGTCTGGTGTCTTAGCTCGGCTCTGTCACTCTATGTCCGCAGTCTGGGACCATTCCTGCTGTGTTCCGATTCACCTGCATGGGAATGGTGGATGCTGGATGCTGGTGACTGAAGCTTCTTCCAAGACACAGCAGAGCAAAAGTGGGAAGCACTGGTCCCTGAGCCAGAGTTGGGCAGCAAATACCACAACCTGGCTGCTGCTGCTAGCCCAAGGTTGCTCAGTCTGAGGGAACACAGCAGAGGAGTTCCTTACAGCTCCTGGCACCTGCTCATTAGGCAGCTCCCTGGCCTCTAAGCACCTGCTGGCCCTGAGGAACACTGGCCAGGACAGAAAGCAGGTGTTTCCCAAGAGACCCTGATGGACCCAGGTGAATCCTCTTTCTGTTTCTCCTGCTCTGGGGCAATCTCAAATAGCTGCCATTTAGTTCCTCACCTTACAATGTTTTTCTTTGTAAAACAAGCCACTTCCCTTAGACAAATATTATGGTTTTTCTTTAACATGTCGCAGCGAAAGTTTAGCACAAAAATAATATAGAAATGGAAAGAGCATCTTGAGATTTGATTGTTTTCTCCACTCCTGGGAAACTGTGATTGCTCTAATTTTTTACTTGTTGAATATGATGGTTAGTTGTATGCCAAGCTTGTGGCTACTGGTAAATTCTTATACTATCCAATTATTTTATTTAAAAATATTAAATTCATTTTTACGTTATTTTATGTAAAGCTATGTAATATTCCATTATCCCCAGACAAATTTAGGACTTCAAATATTTAACCACCTACGTTTCACACAAATTTTTTTTTTAAAGATGTATTTATTTTATTACAAAGTCAGATATACAGAGAGGAGGAGAAACAGAGAGGAAGATCTTCCGTCCAATGATTCACTCCCCAAGTGAGCGCAACGGCCGATGCTATGCCGATCCGAAGCCGGGATCCAGGAAATTCTTCCGGGTATCCCACATGGGTTCAGGGTCCCAAAGCCTTGGGCCGGTCCTCTGCTGCTTTCCCAGGCCACAAGCAGGGAGCTGGATGGGAAGTGGAGTTGCTGGGATTAGAACCGGTGCCCATATGGGATCCCGGTGTTTTCAAGGCGAGGACTTTAGCTGCTAGGCTATGCTGCCGGGCCCCTGTTCACACAAAATTTACATGATGGGTTTTTTTTTGTGCCACTGCTTAACAAGTAGCTTGTACTGGAATATGGTAGAGAAAAACAATTGGATCAGTGATCAAAATAAGTGCCATTTCTAACATTTGACCAACCAGTTTCAGAAAGTCTCATCATCCCTCTTGGATTTCCTCAGCCAAGTACCACATGGATGCATATGATCTCTTTTTCTTTTTACTAAACATAGGGCGTATGTAAATTTGACCCTGAGAAATGTAAATGCATTTCAGGCCCTTAATGATAACTCCTACCATGAAGAAGGTTAAATGGAAATAAAAATCAGTGCACACCCAACAGTGTTAAAATTCCAATATTGTAGAAAGCTCTGCCTTTTGCTTTATGGTTTATTTTTGCATAACTCCATGTTGTCGTAAGTTTTCTATTTTTTTTTGAAAGGATAAAAATGGTTGAATAAATTTATTTAATTATTGGTAAGCATGGGATATACTTTTTAACATGTATAGCTTATGGGTCAGCTTTGTGGTATAGCTCCTAAAGCTAGACCTGTGATACGAACATTCTATATGGTCACAGTTCATTTTATGTTCTTATTTTTAACTTTATTATTATTTTTTACATATATATATATTTATTGCATTTAATTTTGCAACAACGTTTCATAGGCTCTGATGTTCCCTCTTCCCCTCCTCCCTTTTTTTTTTTTAACAATTATTTACTTTTATTAGAAAGAGACAGAGAGGAACATCTTCTGTCCAGTGATTCACTTCCCAAGCAGCCACAATAGTCGGAACAAAGCCAATCCAAAGCCAGTAGCCAGGAGCTTCTTCCTGGTCTCCCCTGTGCGTGCAGGGTCCCAAGGCTTTGGGCCATCCTCAACTGCTTTCCAAGGCCACAGGCAGGGAGCTGGATGGAAGCACGGCCTCCAGCATTAGAACTGGTGCCAATATTGGATCCCAATGTATTCAAGGTGAGGACTTTAACTGCTACGCTATCACGCATGGCCCTGGTTTCTACTTTTGTTCCTTAGGTTGATTTTTTTTTTAATGACTTTTCATTTAAGGAAAAGCACAGGAATTGTGTATTAGAGAATTCTCAGAGTGAGATATGAAGCTGCAGTGTAACATGCATCTTTACTTCCAAAAGAAAGATGGATTCCCAATGGAACTGTTACATGTGTCTTGAAAACAGGATGCTGGACACCCCGCTGTTGTCCATACCGAGAATCACAGGTATAATTCAATAGCAGGATGATGGACTTATGACTGTTGAACTATACTATCGTAATAATACAGGAGAAATCAATGGCATGAAGGGATTTGTCAGGGGGAGGGAATCTCTGAGCCAGTGGAACTGTTCCTAAAACAATAATAATAAAATAACTGAATACAAATGTGATCTAGAAATGGAAAGAGCTTCTAGAGATTTGATTGTTGTTTTCACTCCTGGGGAAATCGTGACTTCTCTGATTCTTTTACTTGTTGACTATGATGGTTCGTGGTGCACTAAGCTGTGATTATAGAGGAAGTGAGAATACATTGTTCAAAAATTAAGGAAAAAAGGATGGGAAGAATATTGGGAATATTGCTAGGCAAGAATGAACCAAGCCAGTAATGTGGTACTGCGGTTGTATCTACAAAATTTAATAAAAATTTACAAGGAGATAAAGCCAAAACTACTTCATGTTTACATATATGCAGAGTTTAGTTTAATGTGTGCATTAAATCGTTTAAATATATGAATATATCTATACTTACATTAACATAATTATATACTGAATATATATATAGTTAAATATATTGAATAGTTTATATATCATTATATATTCAATATGACATATTTAATTTATTGAAAAAATATATTAGATAGCTTAATATGCATGTTAAATAATGTTGGCTTTCACTGTTGGAAGGGTTTATTTCCTTAAACAAAATAAATATAAAAATTCTCAAAACCCCTGGAAGTGGTAACCTCTAGTTTTTACCTGAGTTATACTGAGATAGGATACAAAAAGTTGAAGCAAGTTGTGTGATTTATGCCTGATTTCCTCAAGTAAGAAGCTATATTTAAGCAGCTAGACCAAATAGAATAAAGCCTACTAATTTTTCTCTACACTCACAAAAAAATAAAAAAAGTTTTAGCTGTTCTGACTGGAACCATACAGACTACATTTGATACACACATGCAGAAACAAACACACACACATTGCCATTTCAGAAAGTTCAGGTAAAAGTGACATTGTAAAATTCAATGACAGGTTTTTGGGGGGCCTGCATTGT